ATTGTAGCCTTCGATTTGTGCACACTGTGTCGACTCTGGTTTCGACAAGAACCTCAAGAAGCATAAACCACTTGAAGATTGCATTAAGAAATTAGTCTGCATGATCTGTTCAGGAATAGGAGGCAAACGCTTGCTTACTTTTATACCCAAGTTTAAAAAACTGTCACAACAGCAGTTGACCGTAGCTTACAGAGCGTAATGACGATTCGCACGATGTGCAGAGTGGGACAAATCTGTTGTTCGACATAACTCTTGCCTGACACGACTGATCATGCCTAATATAGTCGGCCCCGTGATGTTGCAGATCGCTTCCCGATTAACGATGATCTGTAGCAGCAGATCTAGAGAACTTGATCCGCTCCTGAGAGCCAACTACCGTAGACCGAGGATAACCCCAACCTCATCGAGGTGCCGTAGTCCCAGCTTTAGCCGCTCGATAACAATCCAATTTACTTTTGCAGTGTATGCTTCATAATTCCTCCACATACGCTTCCTTCATAGGATGCAAGAATCGTTTTCATCCTACATGAGTGACACTGACCATTATAAATTAGTTTCACCGATGCGGCAGACACCCTACCCAGAGTTAAATCTGTATGGTCCCCTATAATATTGTATTATCTTCTCTGGGAGACGACATCGCCTTAATAGCTTCAAGCTTTGGTAAGTCTCTCAAGCTTGATGGCGGCAACTTTGATTCGGCAGAAAAAATACTTAGGGTCGGCTAATGCTGCCAAAGATCCGTTTGTACCATATGTACATCCTTCCGATCAGTCCGCGTGTACGGTCGTGATTGCTGAGCTATGCGTTTAGAAGATAAGCGAGCGGAGATTCTTTAACCTCCGCTGCCCGAGGATCATTTTCGAGTGAAGTACAGCAAATTCGTCTTAAATGACACAGTCTGCTCTTTCTGCGACAACATTGCAAGGATATCCCTGGCCACCTAAGAAAGACGACCTAGGTGGATTTTGCGCACGTTTTTCGTCGTCAATCTCACGAGCTCAGTGTTGTCGCTCTCGATTCGACACCGTTATTCAGTTGCAGGTGTCGAAGGGGCCTTGAGTTCTATACAGTAGTCGCCGGTTATTAAGCCTACGT